AGTCCTTCCAATTATCAGCCAGCCCAAGAATGCGCCTGTCCAGTTTGTCATAACCTGAAAATGGGAGATAAAGAGACAAAACAACATAAGGGCCAAGGTAAAAATGGAAAAGAAGAGGGAAGAGAAAGAAAAGCAACACTTACCAGCCTCATGTGTATGGCATAAACGCATGGCAGAAAGCTGCTTGTTGCACACAATGTAAAAGGAGTTAGGCAACCATATCTTGGGGTACCTTGAATCGCCTGACCCAGCTCCCTGCAAAGTATTAAAAGCTTATGTCTCACGAACAGGCTCGCAGGGGGAAACGGTAACCCCAGCCATATTGGTGTGAATTTCCCGAAAGTTGCGCGGCACAGCAAAAGTAGAAGGCACCCTCAACCAGAAGAACTTTCCAGTCCAATCCCGAAAGCGACCAAGCTTCGGGTAGGACAAAACTATGCTCTCTTTAGGAGCTATATAATACCACCCAGCCTCCGAGCCAGAAGCAGACCTTTTCAGGCTCATTAAAGACTTAAAAAGGTGTAGAGACTCAGGATACCTTCAAAACTGCAGAAACCATAGCAAGCATATTAAAGTATGCAGAGAAGCGGGATGCAATAAAGCAATGCAGAGGTTGAAGGCGCGGAACACCTTCTTAAGAGTGGGATCAAGAGGAAACCTCAAACCCAAATCCAACTGAGAAGCAAATACCGCAATATGACTAGTAGGGGGAGCAGAAAGCTTCGCACCCTCAGCAGGCAAAACCAGCTCATAGCCCTCACCAAAACCATAAAACTTCTGTCCCACAGAAGCAAGGTTCAGCTTCCTAGCGTCCTTACACCAGTTTGAATCCAGCACGCAGTTCTTCGGCCCGTAGCACTTATCATCCAAAAAGAAATCGGTTTTTCCCTCATCTACAGGCTCAACAACGTAAGTGGGCAGGCAATCATAAAAAGTGCGGTCACCAAGAGACTTAGTCATTCTGCTCGAGTTAATGGCTGGAGAAGGAGATGGTGATGAAGTCGCAGCACTGCCACCCCGTACTACATAATGGTCAAACCGATTCACATCAGCCATGTCATCAAGTCAAGCAAAACTATTTAAAGGCTGAAAATGGGGAATGGGGCTAACAAGAGACATATCAGGGGGATTATCCTTCACGGCGTCAGCTAACATTTTATGGCGCATTGCGCGCATCCTTAAACAGGTAAGATGGGACAAAGGAATCTCATCCTTAAAAAGCACTGGCTCGCAGTAACACTACTAAAATTCGGTCGAACTGCGACCGTTTTTCTACGACTGTCATGAAAACGGTCGCAAAAATTGATATTTGCGACCGTTTTTTAAGCGGTCGCAAAATTACGACCGTTTATGGGCTATAAAACGTTCGCAAAGGTAATTAAATATATATATATAAAATAAAATTCATGTGAAAATTTATTCAAAATTAAATTAATTATGTTACGACCGTTAGTAGCGGTCGCAATATGTGTTAATTACGACCGTTTGAGAAACGGTCGCAAAATTACGACCGGCATACCGATCGCAAAATGTAATAAATGGTCGCAAAATTACGACCGCCATACCGGTCGCAAAAGTGTTTTATTAATTTTTTTTAAAAAGAGTATATAAGGAGAACACCCAAACCCTAGTATTAGAACTACAGCCGTCACATGCATCCTCTATCCTCTCTCTCTCCTCACGCATCCTCTTCTCCTCTCTCTTTTTCTCACACCCTTCTTCTTTCTCTCTCTTCTCTTTCCTCTTTCCACCTCCTTGTGAACGACCCTCATCTCATGAATCCTCTTCTCCTCATCTTTTTCTCCTTCTCTCGCATCTCTTCTCTTCACCAACCCGAATGAAATAGAGCAGCCACCGTCACAAGCAAAGCCAACCGTTAAAAGCAACACGCTAGTTTGGTGTTTATGGTCAAATTCGACCTTAAAAATTCCAGATCTAGAGTTTTCTTGGTCGAATTTGACCATATTAACCTAAAGAGGAAGATAGATTATGAAAGGTATGTTTATTTTTCGAAAATTTTGTTTATTTTCAAATTTTGTGGTTGAATTTCGTTTTCCGTTCGAATTTCCATGTTTATTTGATTTTGTTATCGATTTTTGTTTGCGTTTCTGTTCCAATTCCTTTGATTTTGGTTTTATTTTGAGTTTTTGTTAATTATGTTCGAATTTGTTCTTTATTTGTTCGAATTTCATAGATTTTTGGTTTGATTTTGAGCTCGAACTTGTCGAATTAAGGTTCAAATTGGTGGGTTTAATTGTTGAATTTTGGTTCGATTTATGAGGGGTTTATTTCGTTTTTTGTTTGATTTTTTGTCGAATTTTTTGTTCGATTATGTGGTTTAATTTAATTGTTCTGTGTTTATTTTTTTGGGTTGAATTTTTGGCCGATTTTTTTTTTATTTAATTTTTGTTCGTTTTTTGTTTTAATTTCTGAGCATTTTATTTGTGGGTTAATTGTTTTGATAAATTTGGATTTTTTTTCGAAATTGTTTGATTATTGTAGGTGATTTTTTTTTACTGTTTTTCTGTGTTAAGGGTGAGTGGTGGTGGGTATTGGTGGTTGAAGGTGGGCGAAGGTAATGGTGGGTAGAGGGCGGCAGAGGCGGCTACTGGTTGTTTAGGGTGGGAAATGGTGGTGGTTTGGGTGGGATCTGGGTTAAGGGTGGGATCTGGGTTAAGGGTGTGGGTAAGTGGGTTTTTTTCTTTTTTTTTTGTTTTTTTTTAAACTTTTAGCGACGGCTTATGCCGGTCGCTAAATTCAATATTTGCGACCGTTTCATAAGGCGGTCGCAATGTCTAATATTTGCGACCGTTTTTGAAACGATCGTTGAAAATAGGGAAAACGGCCGTAAAAAAATCTGCGACCGTCAAACGGTCGTAATATTTTTTCTTTTGCGATTAACATAATAACGACCGCCATGTTGCGACTGTTGACGGTCGCAATTATGTTTTGCGACCTTTTGCGCCGGTCGCAATTTGGTCAATTTTTAGTAGTGTAAGGAACAAAGAAGTTAGGACGAGGCTCCCGTTGAAAAGGGCGAAAAGCACTACTCTCAGCAGGACGACTACTAACTGACCCAGATGCAGCAGTTGGAGTCGCAGCAGTACCCGTCCTGCTAGCAATTGAGGGACAATCAAGGGGCATAACCATTCGTATATGAGTGGAGGAAGAAGAAAGAGAAACATGAGGAGTGTGCGCAGAGCGATCAGCTGAAGGAGAGGATCGAGAAGGAGAATCTGACTTAGTGCCCACTTGAGGGTCACTTATGTTCTGACTATCAAAAGCGTCAGACATTGTGAAATCTACAAAGATAAAAAGCCCACAGAAAGGAAGAAGAAGGCACCGAAAATTGAAAATCAGTTTCTAGAGACAAGAACAATGGAGGAATAAAAAGAGGGAATCAAGAGCGTAATTATAACAACAAAAAAGGGGTAAAATTGGGCAAACGAGTCAAAAGATACAATTTTGTGAAAAAAAAATACAAAGAGAAGCAAATTTGGGTAAGTACATACAACAAAAGGTACAAAGTTAGTACCTTTAGAACAAAAGTTGCAAAAGCAACAGAGAACAACAACAATGGCGATCCAAGAAATCGAACAAGGAGCGAAACTCCAAGTTGTGACCACAAAAGAAAGGCGATTCAGTAAAAATAAAGGACAAAGAAGAGGAAAGCAAACATGGCAAAAAATGAAGCAAGAACAAAAGAAAAGAAGGCAAGAACTTACCACAATAATGGAGAAGAAACGCGCGTCTGAGAATGGGTACAAGAAAGTAAGAAATTTTAAATGAAAGAAAGAAGACGGGGAAGATGAAAAAATGAGGAAGGTAAAAAGAAATGGGGGACAGTGAATTTAATAAGGAGTTAATGGGCGGTTGGGCATGAAGTAAAACCAAACCGCCATGTCACTTCGGTAAAATCAAAATTGCAGGCTTGGATGATCGACACGTGTCCCACTCATGCAAATGTTGTTCCCGCCCAAAAAAAATATATATAAAAATAATAAAATAAAATTTATCAAGGGAAAGACTTCAGCGGGAGTGATCGAAATCACTACAAGAAATCATCACTTGTGCCACGAATTATGCCACGGGAGTTCGAAACTCGTGGCATAATTTCATCTAGCCACGAGAAAAATGAACTATGATAGAAACACCAAATAAGAAGAATAATTTTTGCCACGGGTATTTATTTTCCCGTGGCAAATATCACACTTGTGCCACGAGTAGCGCTTTTCCCATCACAAATATCACACTTGTGCCACGAGTAGTTCTTTTCACATGGCAAACGTTATATTTGTCCTACAAGAAATTTTTTCCCGAGGTAAATTTTACACCAGTGTGACAAGTAATACGTATTACTTGACGATTATATTCGATACCATGAGAGAATGAGGGATATCTCAAGTGGTTAGTGCTCCCCTCCCGATTTCAGGACATCTTGTGATAAATTCTCGTCGCTCGTCCTTGTGGCTCTTTAAACACACAAAAAAATATATTAGATACCATGAATTGGCCATATTACTTCGTTTTCTCTTTACTTTTAAACTTGAAGATATTTGAAATACCATAAGCAAAATGTTAATACAAATTAGAGGTCGAATATATTCAAATAATCACTTGTAGATAAAATTCGAAAGACATTTAATTTTATGAAAACTTCGGTTCGTATGATTAAAATAAAAAAAAAAAATTCAAACCTATGATATTAGAAATTTTTAGAAAATTTAAATAGAGATAATATAAGAAATTTTAATATTATTTCCTTTTTATAATTGGTACAAATGTCAGCTGCGTAGTAATATGGGTGCATTCACAAGTGACTACTATGAGTCCACAAGACTACAAGAAAATGTTTCAATAACATTCAATTTATTTTTTAATCCATTACATATTTTTTTTTTTTGATTTTTTGATTTTTTTTTTTTGAAAACCTTTTTTGAAATATTTAATCCATTACATATTATTATCAATGATTTAATTTTTGTAACTAGTTAAAAAAAAATTAAAATTGTCAACTAAAGTTTTATTGCCCAAAAAAAGAAATTTAATTGAAAAAAAAACCACTGAAGCCCACTGAATGTTTTTTCATTAAAACAAAAAAAACGATGTCCTCTTTCTTTACTTTCTTCGTCTTTCCCTCCTAGTCTCCATTGAAGCGCACTCATCATTCTCCACTGAAGCACACTCAGTGTTCTCCATTGAGTTTTGTCCTAACTTTCTTTTTCTCATCATCTAATTTCAATTTCCAATATAGGGTTTTGTCCTAAATTTTATTTTACGACTTCCTCCATTTCAAGGCTTTCGACACATCATACTCCATCGTTGTCTACAAGTCCCGGGTTCAATATTTGCTTTTAATAAGGTAGAATTTGAATAAAATTTCCTCAGATCAAAGATATCAAGCCTAATTCGAGAAAAATCAAAAACCTAATTTTTTGCCAATTTTACGGTTTTTCATGCAATAATTCAAGAAACAACAAATTCGGATCAATTTCAAACCAAAAATCAGAAATTCGAGGTTAGGGCTTCTGGGCTATTTAGCTTTGTGTTATTTTTTTCCTTTTTGGTCCAATTATTCACGTTAAATGTTTTGATGTCTAGGGTTTAATTATATGATTTGATTTCAATGTAATTGCTTATTTGATTTAAATTTAGTTCTACTGTTAACGATTAAAGTTGCAATTCTTTTTTAAGGGTAAAATTCCATTTTTTTTTCTTTTTTTAATTGGGTTAATTTTTACATGCTCAATTCGTATCTTTTGGATTAATTTATACAATTCTAAGCTTTTTTTTTTTATCAATTTTGTGTGTGTATGTTTTTTTTAAAAAAATTATCTAAGTTTCGTGAATTTTGTTGATGGATGTTTGTTATATATATTTGTATTTTGAATACAAATTCTAGTCATTTGTGATATAGTGGTTGTTGATTAGCAATTGATGGTAGAGAACTAGAAATCAATTCCTTCACATTTTAGACCTTGTGAGTTTGTGACCTTAGTTTGATTATAATGCATGTGTTCTGACACAAAACAAATTGTAGCTGAAGGGTGAATATTTAGAGTGACTCTCACCATTATCCTTGCCAATGCAAGAATTGCTAAGTCCCTAGAATGATGATTCGAGCTTTTAGTAGAACCAACTCATTTAAATGAAATTGTTTGATGAGGAACAAGTTTTTTTTGTTTTTTTTTTTTTTTTTTGACAAGTTAATTGAGAGGGGATTTGAACTTAAGAGTATTAATAATATAAGGAACTCAATGTTATTGCTATAAAAATATGAGCTTAATTTAATGTTTGAATCAAATTTGGTGGATGCAACTATGTGATTGGAGCTTTTTTCCCCAAAAATTATGAGCCTGGTTTGATAATTGAATCAAATTTTGTTTTAAAGATGTTTAAGATCCCTTTAAAGTTAAGATATGGGTTCAAGGTGAGTGCCCCTCCTGCTTTTTTAGAAAGCTATTTCAACTTGCATTAACCAAGATAATATTAGTGTCAGTATTTTAGCCTTCTCAAAGTCATTAGTTGGGTAATGAGGTGTCTAATTTTCAAATCTAATTTTGTGTTTGATTGGTACCGTAATTATTTTTACAGGAGGAAGTGGGGTGGTTACTGGTTTATGATGTCAAACTGACAAATTGTAACCTGCTGGTACGGCAACTAACTCACCGGATGGTGTACAATTCTTTTTGGAAAGTGTTTGCCTGTGCTCTAAGACATGGCTGAGCAAAATAGTCCTCTCTTGGTAACTTAATCCTTTTCAGTTAATATAACTATTTTTCTAACTTTCTTTCAATACTGAAATCATCTGTTTATTAATCAGGCTCATAAAATGTCTATGTCGGGCATAAGTATCATGTCTTTATGCCTGCTTGTACGCTATTATTGCCTATCAAACTGATATGTGTGCTTCTGGTTATGCTATTGGCCCTTCTTCGTAATCTGTTCATAAAGCATCGCAGTTTGTTGATGTGGATGTCCTATGTGTGTTTTATTAATATGTATCATATGTTTAATAGTTTTAAGCTTATATTAGTTCAGAACACTATTAGTACTTAATTCCAATATATATGTGAATATGTGATGATATACACATTACTTCAGGAGTTCAGGTGTTAAATTTTTAGACTGTAAGCACCAGCAACTACCAAGTATCTGACTGTTTTTGTTAACAAGTATATAGCCTATTAGGCCTCTAATGTATCTTTTCGTTGTGTGATAAAAAAAGGGGGACTATAATAGCCACTATGACTCCACTACACCTTGTTTTGAATAGGAACTCTCTCTTTAATGAGGCTTGCAGCCACATTAACTACTGTCTTCTATTGTTTAAAAGGGAAGTCCATAGTAGTGCTTTCAAATCAGTAATAAATCAAAGCAAAAAAAAAAAAAAAAAAAAAAAAAAAAAAAAACCTTTTTTTAGCATGATATTTTAGATACTATGACTAATCAAGTGAAAAAAAGCCATAACATTTGCTATGTTGTGTCCTTGACCTGAATTTCTGTAACATTTTCTGTATATGTGTGCTTTGATTGTACCCTTTGGTTGTACATGCAGGGCAATAGGGAATACACGTCTTTTAGTAGTTACTAGTGGGAGTGAAAAATATTTTCTTGGGACTGACAGTGCTCCTCATAGAAGAAAGAATGTTCTTGTGGATGTGTTGGAATCTTTAAAGCTCCTGTTGCTCTATCACAATATGCCAAACTATTTGAAGAGGAATGAATTGCTCCATGAAAGCAAGGTGTTTAAGATGCTCCACGGTTTGACATTGTAGTTGTAGTTGGGTGCTAGTGCTGCATGTTGCTCTGTTCCGATTGTTGCTACTACCTTTGCTGGTTGTTGCTGAAGTTGTAGTGTATACTAATTTTTTTATTCTTTTATTATTTTTTGATCATAAGTGTAAAATTTACAAGCTATTAATGAAAATATCATAGTTTTACGACTTTATGCACTATGTATGTTTATCAATTGCAAAACCACTACCTTTAAGCCGCTTTGAACCGGTGCCTAGTGTTGTTAGCCACACACGGTAATATTTATATTAATAAAGTTTATTAGCCAAGGTAATATTTGTGGCAAACTAGCTAATTAGCAACGGTGATATATGTGGCAAACAAGATAATTAGCCATGGTAATATTTGTGGCAAATAATTTGTTAGCCAGGTTAATATTCGTGGCAATTGAATTTGTTTGCCATGTGAATACCCGTGATATAAATATTATAATTTGCTACGACATCCATTTTCCCGTGGCAAATTCCTAGCCACGGCCTCTTGTGCCACAGGAATAAATTTCAAAATTCCCGTTGCTAAATTACATAGCCACGGGAATTTTAAACTTGTGCCACGATTTTACACGTGTGTAGGGAATATTTCAAGCATTACCCCAAACTTAAACCCCACTGTGATCATACACTAAAGTACGGTGGCGTCGAAAGGGAAAGAAGATAGAGCAAAAGAGTCGCTAACAAGTTTTACGAACTTGTAAACTGTTCACAGGGTGAAGGTTACACCCCTTAACGATCCAAGAGATCATTAACTCCAAAAGGTCTAGAACCATGACTGGTAGTTCGGGGATGAAGGTACAAATCCAACCTAAAAGAGATTGAACCTGCCCTAATAATAGACATTTACTTTATTCTGATTGTATTTATGTGCGCTTTCGGACTAACATGCAATCAATAGGTTTAACCCTAAACATGTTTATCTATGTTGGTTGAATATTAATGCACAAATAAAACTATTATTGGCGATCACTTGAATTATAATCATATTAACCCTAAACAAGATTATTAAATATCTTATTAAGCATGTATAAAAGGCGTGATCAAGCAATAAATAAATATAATATATCAAGCGACATAATAATAATCATAATAAAAAATAATTATGAATCATAATAATTAAAGCATAATAATATTAATAGCAAGATCCTAGGTATGATACTAACAAGATTAATAACAAACCCTAGCATGTCACTAAACAATAAAGATCAAAGCTTTATCCCTAACATGATACTAACATGAGTGTTAGGAAGAAAATAGGAAGTGTTTCGGGGTTTTCTGATGTCCTGCGGGAGAGTTGCAATTTCGAGACTGGAACCGGACGCCTGTACCTGCAAAACAACGGAGACTCCTGGTGGTGGGAGCTCCGCCTCCAACGGTCAAGTTAGTACTTGATTAAGGAGTAATTAATGCGGAAATTAAAGTGATTGGGTCTCTCTAGGTGAGAGTGTTTAATGTGAGTTTTTAGCGTAATCTGCTTTGTTAGCGTGATCAGCCTATTATCTCTGTAATCCCCCCTTAATGAGGATTAAGCGAGGTATTTATAACCTTGGGAAACGTGCCAATCCTAGGTTTAGGTTAACCTAGGGCTGATTGGGCTTCCCTCGGAAGTTGGGCCTAGGTGGCCGGTTTCTCCATTAGGCATGGAGTATGCCACGTGTCATGACATAATAGGTCCAAGGTGGACGAATAAGCGTGTGCCACGTGGCAAGCCCTGACAGTTCCAACTGGGGGACACTTGGCAGGACCTGATTGGCCCACGTGGCGCATTCCGATTGGTGGGAGCAAAATCCCCTAATCATTTGCCCCTCACAGGTGGCACGTGACTGGTCACGTGTTACCTGTGACAGGTGTCGCACTGTAACAGGCGACGGCCTGCTACAGGTGTCACTCGGCGAAAGGCCGAGAGATTCTCCCGCCCAAATTTTGAATTCTGGAAGTGACCCTTCGCCTTCTCACTTCGCCTATATAAGGGAGTGTTGACTTCAGTCATTTTCACTTGAGAACTTTTGAGAGAACATTCGGACCCCTGAACTTGCTCTGACATTTTGGACCCTTTCTGCCTACCGCCTGTTCTGACAAGCCGACTGCACAGGATTTCCAGAATTTCATCAATCGTCACTCGTTCAGGTAACCGTCGGTTCTCTTACTCTTAATTTTCTCTTAATTTTATTCTTTTTTGAAATGGCACCACGGAAGCACTCGACACGACCTAGGTTAGTGATCAGCCGGTCACCGGGGACGGCTGAATCTAGGACTAGGAGTGCCGCCTGCCCTTTTCCGGACCCATCTTTGCCCTTTATACAAAGTCCGACTGTATCTGTGTCTATGCAGAGCATGATGGCCAGAACAAAAAAGACTGTCAGGATCTCAAATTCAGACGGCTCCTCCCGTAGGGTGCCGATTAGTGAAACATCTGACCAGGCGCCAGATGTGGAAGTGAAACAAAGCGGCTTGAAAGCCGGCTGTTCTGAGGGAGGAATCGAAGTGACCCCTTCCCATTTCACAGTTGACAATTCTTCATTCTCTCCTGCTCCTTTTAAAGGAGAGGAGGCGGGCCCCTCCGGGAGAAGGGAGGAGTCGTCCTCTTCGGACTCGTCAGAGGACGATTCCGAGTCTAGCTCTTCTGGCCATCCTTCTCTGGACACAGAAGAGAAAAACAGTCGCCTGCAAGAGGCGAGGCTTTCTCACGCAGTTGAGAAGGGGGACGATTGGGCGGAGCCATCCGCCTCTTACCGAGAGCAAAATACCCCCTACTACTGCACGGTACCTCGGGGCCGGATCACGGCCATGCAAGAGAAAGTGGAGAGCTTTATCGCAAACCACACAATGGGCCCCGACTTTTTAGTGTTTGTGCCGGATCCAGAAGACACAGTCGTCTGGCCGGCTGGTACCAGTTATGATAGCGCCTGCTTTGGCTGCTACGAGGCGGCCATCAAGGCTGGGCTGCACTTCCCACTACATCCGGCTGTTCAGCGGATCTTGGATGGGTATGAGTTGGGGTTATGGCAGTTAGCCCCGAACTCCTGGGTCAACGTACTCGGCTATGTGGCCAGGTGCGAACTGCACGGGGTAGAGCCGAGCTTCGAGGCTTTCGCCCACATGAACTACCTCAGCCGGACCCCTAAGGCAGGCGGTACCGGCTGGTATCAATTGACGAGCCACAGGGGCTACCTCAAGACAAGAGGTAAAGCAAACAAATAGAAGGACTGGCGGTGCACCTTCTTCATCATTGAGAGTTCAGACACAAAGCTGAACAAGCGCCTCAACAGGTGGAACAGGAATCCGCCCCTTCTTGCAGGCGGCCGCAGCATGCCGCCTGTTCCCCCCAAGGCTAAGAAAGAGATCCTAGACAAAGGACTCTTCAAAGTAGAGTCGAGGGTCGACTCTACTTCAGGGGTACGAGAGCAAGTACCCCTGCACTGCGTCCCGAGCTTCAAATGGCTCTACGACGAGTACTTTTTGGCCGCCTGTGGCCTCAGCAGTCGGTCCTCAAGAGGTAGTCGGTCCTGTCGAACACTCTGCTGTTCCGTGCATTTTGTTACAACTTTTATTAACTTTGCTGTTTGTTTTTGCAGCGGACGCCATGAGCAAAATTACCGCCTCCAAGACTGCGGCGGCCATGTTGCGGGCCTCCATCATGCAACAAGCTTCAACCGACTCCCCCAACAAGGGGGCACCCTTGGTGGGCTTCGAACCTTTCACCCTCTTTTTGGAGTTGTTTATGCATATACTGACTTCTTCTTTTTTTTTTAGACGGGCGCTCCAAGAGCTTCTTCTTCCCAACAGCCGGACCCCAAGGCCCGGAGGACGACTGTTGCGAGCTCTCCTGGTTCTGTCAGGAAACATGTGGCGGCTGAGAAACAGCCGGCCACTTCTTCTAAAACTCCAGCTAGGCCGCCTAGAAGTATGAAGTTGTCCTTGTAAATTTTAGACTTGCTCCCTTTTTTACTAGGTCTAATCCGTTTGTTTATGCTTGATGCAGCCGACCCTCAGGAGCCTGACTTGGTCGAGGTGGCCAAGTCTATGATCAAGGCCGTTCCTCCAGCTGAAAGGGAGGCGGTCAGGGGTGTCGGCAACCTTGACCTAGACGGGATTGCAGGGGTCCTTGCTGAGGTATACTTAGCATATTTTTGAGTATTTGAATTCCAGGACGCCTGTTTTCTTTTTTTGTTTGGAAACTGACGCCTGTTCCTTTTTACTTAGGCCCTGCTCCGAGTGAACGGCCTTCGCAAGCCGCTTGACCGGAAGAACAAAGAGGTAAAGGCTGCAAAAGCTATGGCCGCCTCTAACTGTGATAAGGCAATGTTTCAAATTGCCCAAAATGAAGTTCTGACCATTGATATTCTTTATTATCAGGCGCAGGCTACCGCCGCTATCCGGGCTCAGTTAGAGGCGGCCCAGAAGAGGAATGGCGAGCTGGAGGCGACCATCAACAACCTCAAGGCAGAGCTGAGACCTCTTCGCCACAAGATGTCCTCATACGAAGCCTTGGAGAAATCCTTGGCCAACGTAAAGGAACGCCCGGTGACCCAGGAGAAGAGTCTTACTCAGGAGCTCTCGGAAAAGGCCGAGCAAGAGAAGAAAGAGCTGGTCCGGGAGATGATGGAAGACTCTGCTCAAATCCAGCGCATGACTTGGGGCCGTCTCTTCCCCAATGCCAACTTTGCCTCATGGGAAAAAACGTACCGCCAGTGTTCTAACACATATAATCAAGAGATCCTAGCGGTTGCTGAGGAAGAGGCGTTGGAGGAAGCGTTGGAGGAGGAGGAGCCGGTAGTGGCGCTTGTGACGCTTGGGGGTAATGCATCAAAGAAGGATGCAGCTGAAGCCGAGTCCAGCAAGAAGAGTGCTGACCAGGCGGCAGCTACTAATATTGAAGATCTGCCCCCTTCTTAAGCTTTATGTCTTCTTTCCATGGCCTGCGTGCCGTTTGTTTTGTATTTACCCGGCCAGGGGGCCGGGGCTCTAAATATTTTGCCGGACTTTGTTGACCGGCTTCTTTTTAATGAATTTTTTGTTTTGCTTCAAATTTGTTCAAGTATTGAATATTCTGATATCCAATTGTACACTATACCGACTGTTTTTCATGGCCGATAGTTGCAGACAGGTACGGATAGTTAGTCACGCCGCCTATGCCCCTGGACGGCTGGTTGTCTGTTTCCAGGCTAGACGATCAGTCGGCCATTTATCCAATCGGTATTCGAACCATTTTAAAGACTGGATCCCCTTTAGGCAGGCGGTCCTGTCATTTGTAAAATTAACCAAGTAGGAAAGTGGTCTA